AGGAGAATATGATTAAAACATGAATCCAGCCTCTGGACTAGCCTAGCAAGAAAGTTATATAAATCCATCTCCACACAGCACAATATTTGCTCTTCGCTATGCGACGTGTCCTCCTTTCTGTTTGTTATGCCTCCACAGGAAAGTTAGAGGTTCCAGCAAAGCAGATAGAAAATCTCTCCCTCTCTGCCTTGCTACTGCTTGCTCCTCCTGACTTCTGAAATGGGAAATGGCACACCGAGTTCAAAATGCAAGTTTCCAAGTGAGAAGAGATGAGCCGGAGGATGACCTTGGGAGTCTGAGTCGCCCGACCTTGGCTGCCTACAGCCCTCTAGCAGTGGTGACCTTCACGAGGACACAAGTAATCGGAGGCCCTGCTCAGTCGGCTGGGATAGACTTCTCGGGCTGGTGCTAATTCACTGTTTTGTCCTGTTGACTGGAAACCATCCAGAGCTCAGATCCATCACTCAGCAGGCATTCACCTAAACCACCCCTGGGCCTAGCATGAGGCTCAGTCCTGGCTTTGGAGGAGCTTACCATCTAATTACTATAATTAGGGGCCGATTGAGTGTTAAACTGTGTGACACTAAGTAAGCGTTTAAAGAAAACGATCACTGTGGGCTAGAGTAGTTGGAAAACATTTCATGGAGATTGCAGGACTTTGAAGGGAAGAGTAAGATAATGCTTGAGGTTAATGACGTTGATGCAATGTGCTTAGAATGAGAGAGCACGGAGCTGAGCGTGGAGTTTACCTGAGGAGGAAGTCCGCAAAGGAAGGCGGAGTCCGGGCACCCGTTGGCACCCCGCCAGGGTAGCGACTCACTACAAAAATGGGTTTCCTCTCAGGTCAAGAAGTTATTTCATCTTTCCTGAAATTGCTTGGGGTTTGAATCAGGATGGTGACATCCTTTACTTAGGCTTCCAGTGTAGAAGTGCCATGGAAAGAAATGACTTCCTATCAATGCCAGCGCTGGCTAGATTAAAAAGCCGAGAGCACTTCATGTGAAATGAGGATTACCTGGTGGCACGATGGGTCTTCTTCCAAAGGGCACTAGTAGCCGGAGGGATCGTTGGCAATTCCTTCCAGGGTTAGGATTAGAATGATCAAAGAGTAGAATTCACTTCCATGAATTTTTATAAATCATACTGTAGGTTTCTGTCTACATAATTAATGAAAATAGCAACACTTTGCTTTATTATTCCCCCTTAACTATTAACATTTTTTTGTTGAACTACGAGCATTTCAGGACAAAAGTGTCTCTGGAGGACATTCGGTTTCTCCAGCTCCGCCCATGATTAATGACCGAGCAGGTGCACAGAATGAAGGCATTTCCAACACAGCAACCTTGACTTGTCCAACGAAAGCTGACAAGACGCCTTTTCTCCCTTGTGTTTGGCTACACCGCCAACTGGCTTAGTTAGTGCCATTGGTAGCTTCTGCCCTCTTATCTCCCAATTCTCATGTAAACCTGAAGGTGCCTCTAGCTCCCTTTAGGGAGGAATTTTTTTAAGGGAGAAAGAAAAATTTTATTTCATTCCAAGTACCATTTGCAGATCAGGTTTTCCAGATGGTAGCCAGGGGCCTGGCTTAAACCAAGTAGTTAGTTCACCTGCACACCAGCCAGTGGCCTGACAGCAGGGCCTCCTGTGGGCACTGGGGGCCAGTCAAAGGAGGAGTGAGGATTGCTCAGTGCTGAGCTCTGAGTAACCCTGTCCACTTCTCTCTCTTTAAAGGCTGAAACCACCCCTTGCTCCCACAATTCTTGGTCATTTATGGCCACATCAGAAGTTTCCAGACTGGGTACAGGCCGCAGGCTCAGAAAAGCTGGAAACCAGGTTTGCTGTGCTGACTGCGCGCCCGGGGCCCTTCCAGACCAGCAGCTGCAGCACTCTGCAGCAAACCCTCGTGATGAGTGATGTGTGCCTGTGAGGGCACACGCCCACGGGCGTTCCCAGGGTCCCGCCCAGCTCGCCGAATGTTGGCTGTAACCTCACCCCTTCTCCAAAACAGGAAAGTATGGCAGAATATTAGAAGAGAGGCAGCGTCATGGGGAAAGACTTGAATCTATTCGAAGGCATGCTTTGAACAAAAAGAAATAATTCATAGATGTCAGCAAGTTATGAAGAAAAAATGAGTTGAAACATTTCAGAGTTGCAAGGCTATATTGAGGACGGCTGCCTTTGACACCATGCTGCAACAATGTCACACAAATGAACTGCACTGGTCAGTCTTGAGGGTGACCCCAATGGGCTTCCAGCCAAGTGGGCAGGTGCCACAATGCTGCCCTCTCTCACGGGGAAGGGACCAGCACCTCTGTGTGGAGGGACATTCTGCCTGAATTCAAATCCCAGCTTCACATTTGTCGCTGTCTTCACTGGAGCTGTTTCCATATATTCCAATCCCCTTCCTCCTTCTGGGGTAGATGGTGGATTACATTCCCTGCCACCTTGAAGATGGGCATGGCTCTGTAATTTACTTTAACTCTTTGGTAAGCAGAAATGATGCCATTTCTAGGCAAAAGTCAGCAAGTCTTCTGGACTGCAGAGTGGTCCATGGTCCAGGAGTATAAAAATTAGTGAGAAGCTTGCTAAAAATGCAGAATCTCAGATCCATCCCAGGCCTCCCAAATCATAACATGCATTTAATAAGTTCCCCAGGCAATTCACATTCAAGTCTGTGATGCTCTGCTCTGGGCCTGGAGCATTATTCGCCACTTCTTTTCTCCCTGTCTCTGAAGCTGGTGATGCCCCAGATGGGTGAGCCTAGCCTATTCCCTGGCCCAACCAACATAGACCAGAAGCAAAGCATAAGAGAGTTAAACCTCTATTCTAAGTCACTAAATCATGAGGATTTTTACCTTGCAATGACCTAGCCCATTCTGACATGATCACTCAATACTCAGTGACCCTGGGCAAAGTATTTAATCTCCCTGTGCCTCAGTTTCCTTGGTATAAAATGGAAATAATAATAGTACTGACTAAAAGGGCTGTTCAGAGGATTAATGAGGTAATATATGAATAGAGACTGGTACCTAGTAATTTCTAAGTAAATACTGGCTTCTAACATTGACACTCTCCACCCCCACAGCTCAAATTCCAGTCTGCTTACCTCAGTGACAAGAGTGTCACAACCTTGGTCCCTGGCAGTGCCCCACCCCAAACCATGCACACTCCAGAAACATATGAAGTCACACATCAGAAAGGGAATAAAAAATTACTCCTTCTCAGGAAGAAGTTGGGGATCTCAGCTACGGTAACTCAGCCCAAGTATTTGTCATCTGTGTCTTGCTGTCATTGTCATTCTCCTGTTCTATGACTACATATGCTGATGCTCACCTTCTTGCTTACGTTCCCAAATCCCTCATGCCTTTCAGGACATAGCAGGTGTCTGTCCTTGAAGAAGTCTCCCTCAGATCCCTCTTCACTATGCAACTGAGAATTTGGACATAGTATTTGTTTATTAGACATACTTGGTCCTGAACTCAATGCAGGGTAAAAAATAATAGTAATAACAAAACACCTAATAGATGTTTGTTTTTTGTCTTTTCTTCAAATTTCAGTGTGCATAGTTCCAGCACCAAAGTACTGGACCTGCTTAAGTCCTGGTTTTGACAAGAGTCCAGTAGATTTTTGACATAATAGCAACTGTTCTTAAAAATGATAAATACATGATAACATTTTAAACATGATGATTTTAAATAATATGTATTATTCTAAACCCCAATAAAATGGTAAATTGTTTTTATAAGGAAACAAAATATTGTAAGGCAGAATAAATATGTGTCTTGGATCTCTTTCATATTTATAACTGACTTTAAAAAATCATGGTACCAAAGCAATTCACCACAGTTGCACAATGAGCCACATTATTCAGTTCCAAAGTCACAGAACTTGAACCTCAGAGATGACACCTCACCATTTGATATTCTGTAGGCCAGGGGGCAGCCAACCTTCACTTAGAGGGCTGGACACAAAGTAGTTAGGCTTTGGGAGCCATAGGCAGGTCTCTGTCACAGCCACAGGCTCCGCCGCTGTAGGGCAGACAGGCCTGGATGATGGAAAAACGAGTGGGCGTGGCTGCTTCCAAAGAAACTGAATTTATCAACTCTGCAGTTTGAACTTCATTTCATGTTCACAGGTCACTAAATTCTTTCGATTTTTTTCAACCATTTAAAAATGTAAAACCATTTTTGACTTGTGAGTGGTACCAAAAATAGGTAGCAGGCTGGGGTTGGCCCATGGGCCATCCTTTGCCAACTCCTGCTCTAGACTCCCAAGTTCATGCTTCTTCAACCACACCACAAAGTCTTTAGCCCAACAGTCACTTAAATATCAAGTAAGAAGTAATCCCGTGAGCCTGTTTTATTAGCTCTTCTTGAAAAAGTTTAGGATCCTAAGGATGTCAAACTTTCACCAGAATTTATACCCATAAAAACAACGTCACCCGTCATTCCTTTCCTCACCACATGCGATTAACAGTCACAAGGTAAGAAAACACTTGGCAGCTGTCTTCATGGATGAAGTCAACAGTCTCAATCCTTTGCCAAAAGGCAGGGAAACCAGTTCTTGGTGCCTCTTCTCCAGCTGTTGCAGAATGACTGGGAAGGACAAGCTTTGGCATCAACAGTGGATTTTAACTGGGAACCTCACTACTTCAAAAAATTTTTTAATGATTTTTTTAAAGAGCTTTGGCTTTTGCTATTTTTTACCAACACTCATTTAAAAGCAGTACTGCTTAAAACATTTTAAGACTAGATGTCTCTATGGAAACCCAAGAAATCTCCTATGTTGTGGCCAAATAACTGCCTACCTAGAATTATACAACCTATTGGCTCACGACAGGCCATCTGTGATACCAGAAACATCTTAGACCTATTTTCCCCAAACTCCGTTTTTTATCAGATATAATTAAGTCGATAAAATAATTAGTTTTGTTGAGGAGATCAAGAGAGAAAAAACTTATGTCTGAGGCTTCTTTTAAATTTTTATTAAGATATCCCTATTTAAAATATTCTTAGGGAATTTTTTGGCCAACATGAAAGAGAAAATGTGCAATCAAATAGTTTAACAGTTGCTTTGAAATTTGTATCATCTTCTTCCCCTCTTTTCCATCAATGTCAAATACATATTTTTTTTACACACAGCTGTTTCTCACCCCAAACTGCTTATTTGTTGCAAAGAGAAAATACAATAATTAGTGTAGAAATTTGAGAACACCTTCACCAGGTAACCAAAGTTAGCATCGCTATGGAGGGAAGATGGCTCTGGAACTCCGCCAGAAAGGACACAGTGAGAACACATCCCCCAAAATGCATAACCTAAATCTAATCGTGGGAAAACACAATTATTTGGAAGGAAGGAAGGGAAGGAAGGTGGGAAGGGAGGGAAGGAAGGAAGAAAAGTTGAAGGGGAGGGTAGGAGGACTGTGTGATTTTTAAAATGTCATAGATGACAAAGAGAAGCCATGGGAATATTATAGACTAAAAGCAGCTAAAGATACATGACAATTAAATGTGATATCTGACCAGAATGGATTTAATATTCCACGGGTGAGGCAGGGGAAATTCTCTAAAGGACATTATGAGGTCACTAACAAAACTGGAATACAAACAGCATACTAGGTAACAGTAACGTGTTAATGTTAAATTTGCTAATGTCAATAAGTGTACTGTGATTATATAAGACACTGCCCCTATGCTTAGGAAATACTGAAAAATTTAGCATAAAGGACCATGATGTACATGCATGTAACTTCCTACCAACTGGTTCAGAACAATGATTAAATATGAATAGAGGAAAAGAGAGAATAAAGACAGCAAATAAAGTTAAAGGTATAAAATGTTAACATAGGTTTGAAGAATAAGGGATACATAGGTACTTTTCTATAACTTTTAAATTATTTCCAAATAGAGAGTTTAAGAAAAATGAACAGTTCTTGCCTACATTGGAGTTCTTGGCTATCTAATTTCTCTCCATGATATTCCAAATACAACACAGGAAGTGATGCTTATGCCAATAAAAAAGAAAATGCAAAGATATTTTCACATGTCTTTTATCAGTGATTGAAGCCTGCCAAAGCATCAGATACTGCCCATTCGCAGCAGGGTCCGTTGCAAAAACCAGCGAACACTGGATACTCCAGTGACTTATATGCAATCACTTCCCAGTAGTTTCTCTCAAAAGGGTAGAGATTCTAAAACCATCTTGCATCCCACAACTGTCTCCTGAATCGTTTCATACACAGAGCAAGTCTCTTGGCTGGTCTCTTCCACAGGCACTAACAGTACCAATCAACTGGAGTCAATCTTTTGAATGGGAGCATCTTGATATTTTAAGCCACATTTAACTAGATGGAGAACACGGTTCTCACAAAGCAGCATCACCTCATCAGACATCCGTGACTCCTCACCACCACCTCGAAAACAGTGTCAGAGTCTCGAAGCCTCGAGAATCCCGCAGCCTTAATGTCTGTGACTCTATAAGATCCTGTAGCAGTACTGGAGTTGCCCACCTTTGATGTGCAACACACCATCTAACCAATTCTACACCCGCCTCCCCCCCACCACAAAGTAAAGGGGGAAACTGTGTCTAAGACCAAAAATTTAGCAGACTTTTCCATAAGTCAGTCACTGGATAATCAAGAAGATCATAACCAAAATTGAAATTTCCAGTCAAGCTTAGGAATTAGGAAACACCCATTCTCCAAAACACAGCACAGACAGAGCACATGTACCTTGGTAAATCTTTTCTAGCCTTCCCTGTGTATAGTTTTATTATTTTCCAGATCCTTCCAGTAGGAACTATCTCGGGGTTAAAATAACCATATGTGACTTTTGGCTTTGGCTTTTCATGCTAAATATTCTCATAAATTTCTATCAACAATTTTATTTAACACGTTTACTAAGAACCTACTTGACATCGGAGGCTTAGCCAGACATACTGGGTGGTACGCTCTAGAGGAGAGTCCAGGTATTTCTGCCTACAAATAATCCTCCAGGAAATGACATGAAGACAACATGCGCAACACAGTCCGCCTGCAGGAAACCATAAGGAGCCAGAAATGAAGTATGACCAACTGCACGCAGGCATGAAGTAGTTGAAGCACTAAAATTTAATAAGAGGATAACTTTTAAAGCAGGTGAAATTGAAGAGAAGTTACATGTAACATCATTGCAGATTTAAAATCATGCCTATTCTTCTCCATAAAATTCAAATGCAGTTAAAAACACACACATACAAAATCAAGCAATTATAAATCCTCCGAAGCATGTAACTGTGATTAGCTGCTACTCTCAGCAATATAAAAATACTTTCACCACAATTACATTCCAGCCTGTAATGTAATTCAAAACAAACAAGTCAGAGACATCGCTCAAATTGCAGAACCAACAAATACAGATGCTTTGCATCAAGGAAATGAATCCAGTGAAGAAATGCAGCTGAGAAGGAGCTGAGGTCCTGGGCCGGAGTGAGGCTTCTGGTGGAACGGCGAGGCCCCCTACTGGGCGGGCTGACGCGGTGCACCGCAGCCGAGCTCTGCAAAGCGCCCTTCAACCTGCACCAGCCTTAGGCAAACAGCCAGCGCCACTATCTGGGAGCTCCTGCCGCGGCCCCCTGTCCAGGGCTGTGTTCATGTTTCACCATTTTAGATTTTTAAATTCTAAATCTGGGTTCTTATAAAAAGAACTGTATTCTATTTCAGATCAAACCGACCATGCTATTTAATTGTGTAGCCAGCAGACTCACCACCAGCGGCTTGCCCGTTCTTTTTGCCATAATCTGTGTCACCCCCTAACATGCTGTTCCGTTTGTTACCCATGTCCCTGCTCCGCCAGGGCCAGATTCTGTTTTGTTCCCTGATTCACAGTGCAGTTGCTCAGGAACAAAGAAGGACTTGTCCCAATTGTGCTTTTATCTTCTATTTTTAAGACTATCCATCTCCCAAAAAGGCACAAGTAAGGTTTTAGCACTTGTTTTACCATAGGCATTTATTCTAAGTGTTTTTATAAAAGTAAAAAGTCTGTTCTGAGGACTATACAATCATGATCTGCATGTACACAACTGATGTACAATGTCTAAGTCAGTCTCGGGCCCCCAGCGCCCTGGGAGAGCATAGAGGCTGCAAGGAAGGCAGACTTGCTTCTGCAATGCCGGGTGTGGACAAAGTGACCACAGAGTGCCCCCCGTCCAGACACGCCAGCAACTGAGTCTGGATGCTCACTCCTCACAGCATCTCCAGGACTAGGCATAACGTTTTGGCAGGAAGTGCATTGCACTGCTTACTAATTTCTATCACCTCAATCTTTAATTTTTCCCTTTTCAAAATAGTCTTTCAGCTCATGGAAAAACTAGTAGTTGATTACAATTGTCAGACTTTTTAAAAGTGCTAAGTTGTTCCTTTAACAGAGGAAATGATGAGATATCCTTCTCCCATGGGTTAAGGACAATATATAACACAGGATCCGATGAGGTCGCCAGCTTTCAGTACAAGAATTTCATCCAGTGGCATTCATCAGTCCTTCATTAGCTCAAGTTCAGGATTTCTGACATTCCTTTTTTCGAACCTTTGATTTTGGGGCTGTGAAAAGAGAGGGAAGAAAAGAAAATGAGGAGGTCACCCCAGGTCAGACTCTTCACACTGATCTGTTCTAGGTGAGGGAGGTTATATACAGCAGGGGAAACTGACCATTTGGATTTTCTTGTTTGTAGAAGTTCTTTAACATTTCCACTGCTTCCTCAGCCCGGTAGCCAGGAATGCACTGATGAAAGGAAGAAGTTGAGAATGAACATAAGCCTATGAAAATATGTGCCAAAAACCATAAAAAAGCAATATATACATAATTATGTAAACATTTTTCAGATGTTGATACGCTTTGTAGCTATTAGTAACATGGGAAGTATATTTCCAAAAGAACAACTCGGTGGTGGCCTGGGAAACCCTACTCTCAATCAACTATTAGTTCTCAATTAACTGATATCGAAGCTATTAGCTATGTGCTTTTGGGTAAGAGTCTTAAACGCTTTATGCCTCAGTTTCCTCATATGTAAAATGTAGGTAATTAAAACAATTAACCCAGAAGGATTTTGTGAGGAATAAACGAGAATAAATAAAACAACACCTGTTAAGTACCTGGTGCGTGCTAAGTGCTCATCATGCACTAGCTCTTTTCCTCTGCTCTCGCTTCCTGGCGGCCCATTAAGTATTTGATACTGTAGAGTTATGGTTGGCTGCCCACAGCCAAAATGATCAGCAAAAAGGGGGTTTTATATTTTTAAAGGGTTGTTAAAAAGACAGAATATGCGACAGAGACATAAATGGTTTTCAAAGGCTAAAATTTTTACTATTTGGCTCTCACAAAAAAAAAATGTGTCAACCCCTACTTACTATTGAGGATTTTTAAGTGTTCATTTATTCTCTTTGGTATCTAATTTGGGAGAAGAGAACAACATGTGAAGGAATAAGAAATTGTGATAACAGTAAGGACTTGAAATGAACTTGCTTTAATGACAGAGGGCATTTAAAGAGGCTGAACAGAGAATATTGGGGAAAGAGTAAGAATGAACATGGGTCACATGTGAGGCAACCAGCTGGTGGGGGTAGGGGTACTAAGGGAGTATAGGGGAAAAATTAAAGAGATAAAACAAGGGAAAAATATAGAGGGCTTAGAAGGCTCGCCACAGGAGTTTGGCCAGAATACACTGCGCCCTTCTGAGGGTGCGTGAAAAGCTCCAATGAGCAGAGGTTTCAGGGGGCGCATCTGGAAGCAGCGGACAGCAGAAGAAGGACCGGCAGGCGCGGTCGGTCCGCTGCCCCGAATGAGCCTCCTCTGGCGCCTTCAGCTGGCTCTTGCCTGAACCTACAGAGCCTGTAACCTTCGCCATCCAAACAAAGGAGAGTTCAACGTTTTTAAATTCCACCTAGAAGTGAGAGAGATCCTGTGGTATTTGTCTTCCCCCGTCTGATTTAGCATAATGCCCTCGAGGTCCATCCATGTTGGTCTATCCAAATGGTAGGATTTCCTTCTTCTTTACGGCCGAACAATACTCTGTGGGTGGTGTTCACCTCGTGTTTTCTTTTTAGAAGCAGAGTGCAGAACGGTGGCTGCCCGGAACACAGGGGTGGCAGAAATGGGCAGGCACTGGCCGAAAGGGACAAACTCTGCGTCTTAAGAGGATTAAGTTCCAGGAATCAAAGACACAGCATAGTGACTGCAGTCCACTGTGACAAACTGCGCACTTGACAGGTGCTAAGACAGTAAAGCTTAAATGTTTTACACTAACAACGATAACGACAAAATGGCAATTATGTGAGGTGAAGGCTGTGTTAACTAACTTTGTTGTGATAATCATGGCACAGTAAGTATGTCTATCAGAGCAAGCTGCACACCGTAAACTTATGCAATGTCGTATGTCAATCACATCTCAGTAAAGCTGGGTGAAAAACCCAGTGACCTTCCTTCTACCCTTCTCCCAGGCAACACGCTACCCTGCTTACTCCTGAGGATTTTCCAGAATCCTGGTCTTCACTTTGGGGCCTCTCATTGCCTCCTCAGCCCCGCCTTCACTGGCTTGTGCTCCGAGGACTCCACTGAAACCACCCTCTCAGGTATCAAGGGCGGAAAAATATATAACGAAAATGCAGGTACTGATTGCTACACACCAAAAATAGCAATCAAGCAAAATTACTGAATGTCTGCAAAAATACTGTTTACAGTAAGTGGCACCTACTGTCACTGTCAGAGGCCACACGTCCCACACACTCGGGGCAGCTCGGAGCTGGGGACTGCTCACTGTGAACACACCAACAGCGGCCATGCCTTCAAACACTCCTGAAGGCCTGCGTGAAGCTTGTCCGAAGGTACCTTGGAAGGCTGGGGACTTGCCTTCAACAGACATTCTCCTCTCTCTGCGCCCGGCACACTCACCTGGAAATGACCGCCTGTCCCCTAGCACTGAAGCCCAAATGAACTGGACCAGTAGTGCTGGGGGCCTGTCTGGTTGGAGCACGGCCCCTGGTATACCCACCACACACTGACCATTCGCAAGCCCATGAAGAGATCGAGGTAATCAGAAAGAAGGAAAAAGTGTAACAGTTCACGTTACCTGAAACGATCTCCCAGTGTTTGGTAAGTCAGCAGAGGCGATATCTAGAACAGAGCCACAACCACCGAAGCGTTCATTCTGACAGCCGTACACAACCAGTGGGATTTATGAGAGAGAGTTAAGGTTCTGCAGAGGACGTGCAGTTCTGGACGCCAGCAGAGAGTACACCAGCCGCCCCAGAGACGAAAGCTCATGCTGCTCCTACACATGATGAAGTTTGGGCTTCAGCTCAAAAGTCATATGACCCAGTTATACAAAAGAGGTTTAAAGGATTTAGAAATTAATATCCCACAATTGTAAGCATAATGAAAACTAAATAGGTAGCTGGTAGATGTTTACAGTTTTGGTAGTCTCTCTGGTTTCTCCTAAACCAGTTTTCTTGGAATCATTAGAGAACTGTAGCCAGAAAAGAGGCAGGAATTTAATCCAGAGATTTTCACCTCTTAAAAACAGCATATTGTTCCCTGCTCTTCCCTCAAATAAAATATAACCCATGCCCCTGTACAAAGCCTAAAATAAAATATAACCCATGCCCCTGTACAAACCCTAAAATAAAATGTAACTCGTGCCCCTGTACCAAACCGACGACGGCCGAGTCCCTGGGAAAGGCAGGGTGGGGAGGCAGTTCTGTTGACCAGAGCTGCCCTTCTGATAAAGTGGAGATTGTACCTTTTCTCAGACTCACATTCCTCTGCGTTATTTTTAAAGTGATCAGATGATTCACACATATATAGTAAAACAAGTAGATAAAAATATGCAGGCATAAAGCTGAGTTTCTAAATTATTAGATAACGTTTTAAAATCTTCAGAGACTAACTTGCAGGGCTCAGCATCTGAGTCACTCTAGGAGGAGAGACACCCTCCAGAGAGCCGCAGCTCTGACGGTTTCCCATTCGTCTACAACCGTGTCACACGTGACTGGCTTTCCACTCTGCACTGACTTCTCCCATAAAATTGTTCACATTTGTAATGGGTCTTCACAGCAAAAATAAAGGAAGAAGAACATCAACAGAGAAAGAAACATTTTAAACCACCAAAATCTATTTTCCAAAGGCAAGACTTGAGAGCATGTTCTTCAGACCTGTCCTCGTACTCAGTTTTATAACCTTCTTTAATGTCTATTTATGATTCGCCCTTACAAAGCAGGTCAAATTAGTGCTAAGCTTTTCTTTCTCTAGCTTATTTACTAGTTATATCTTTATAGATATTCTTTTAAAAAGAGGCCATTTTACTATTTAAAAATCTTTTCAAAAAATTTTTGACCAAGGGATGCTGTATTTTACAATGTTCACCTCCTAGAATTTGTCTCTTAGGTTTCTGTTTTCATATATCAGGAACGGGTTATATGCCTGGCCACTTTCAAGTTCACAGACATTAACCTGCCAAGTCCAAGGATACTCATCAGGCGGAGCGCGGCTGCGCACATGATGCAGGGCTCCACGGTGACGTACAGCACGGTGCGCTCGAACACCTCGGAGGGCCTCCTGCCACTCCCGCGACACCACTCCAGGACCTGGTCGATGGCCACCATTTCCGCATGTCGAGTGGCCTGAAAACAGAGAGGAGCTTGCCTTGATCAGGTTTGTGACATTTGCCAAATACTCAGAAATAAGTACAAAGAATGGGCCTACTGTTTCTGCCAACGCTGTTAAAGAGTGGCGGTTTCGGGACACGCTCAGCAGCGAACAACGTCACCCCCAGGTCGAGGACCGTAACCTCACCTACAGGAGACATTTAATCTGAAGTGCCGCCTGAATTACGCTGTATTTTTAGTTAAGTACCTAAGAAGTGGAGGGACACTCTTTCCATGAAAATGCCATAGGGAAGATAGGTGTTAATTTAGAAAAAAAAATTTTTTAAAAGGTGAGCCGAGCATTTCTGAACGTTTTAGGGAAAGGCTGAAATTGTCAGAAACACGTGCTGCAGTTTCAGATGTGTTTTTGGTCACGGACCTGACTCTAAGCAAATCTGTATTTAGTTTACAGGGATGTCATCACTTTCGTGTTCATGGGGATGAGATTTTATATGCTGGCCAACTTTAAACAGAAGCAGAGTTTTGGTTCAGTCTCAGATATTTCATGCAGACAGCAGAATATGGGAGAGATCACACAACAGTTGGAATCAACTACATTTATAGGTTCGAATCCTGACCATGACATTCCTAATTATGTGGCTTTGGGCAAGTCACATACCTCCTCTACACCTTGGTTTACCCATATGTACAATGGGGTACACTGGTATCTATGGCTCTTAAAGCAATCTGAGTTACAGGAAGCTAATGCCATGTAATGCTACACATATACCCTGTTATGTGACAATTAATTATAACACTCACAGTTATCACATTTATCAATAAATTTATACTGAGTGTTACTTATGCACAGACCACTGTGCTAAATTGTGTGTGGAATAAAATGCCTCTGTCCTCAACAAGTATAAAGTCTGCCAGGTGGCAGAAAGGTGACCTGTGACACAGGGCAGGGCGTGAAAAGTGCTGGCGCAGTGGCCCAAGTACCGTGAAAGCCAGAACTACAAACTCAGAGCTAGAAGGTACTTTAGAGAAGGGGTTCCCAAGCCTAGCAGCAGACCAGAACTAAATGGGGAGCTTAAAAATAAGTTTGCCCAACTGGAGTGCTTTTTAAAAATCAGATTCAGAATGACTAAATCAAATCTCCCCATAGTTCTAGATAAGTGCTTGTTGAACTGAATCATTTCAAGCAACTTCCCCTTTGATGGCTGAAGAACCAGAGGCTTTGTCAAGATGTATTAAAGACACACAAATGGGACAGGTGTAAACGGTGACCAGGGGGTGGGGAGGGGGTGATGTCAGAGCCAAAAGCCCGACTCAGGCCTCCTCATTTGGGATCAAGCATCTTTCTATACTGTGATTCTCAGGCAACCCTCTATGGGACACAGAATGCCAAAGTAAATCCGGGTTCATTTCAAGGTAAAGAAGAAACCCAAGTCACTGGTGGTTAGACAAATGTCGTTAGGACAAAGTTCTCACATTAAAAATATTGTACCAAATGACAAAATACAAATAGGGAGATATGACCACTGTCTAAAATACAAAATTCTACTCCCAAATATGAGTATCTATAAATTCACTAATTGCTGTATTATGTCTATTATTTATCTCACAGGTATTTTTTTAAGATTTTATTTATTTATCTTTAGAGGGGAAGGGAAGGAGAGAGGGAGAGAAATATCAATGTATGATTGCCTCTCATGAGTCCCCTTCTGGGACCTGGCCTGCAACCCAGGCATGTTCCCTGACTGGGAATCAAACCACGATCCTTTGGTTCACAGGCCCAGGCTCAATCCACTGAGCTACACCAGCCAGGGCTATCCCAGGTATTTTGACGTCCACATAATGAACGCTTTGTGAATCTGGGTTCCCACTTTGCATGTGTTTTGCTAAGTCTTGGTTTTCCTTTTGATACATTCGATGGATGAACTTCAACATCCACAGAGCACTGGTACCAACACCAGCTTATGCCCTGGGTCCCAAGGTCACCGCACACGACCAAAGCCTGTGTGGGGGTGTGAGGGTGAGAGGCGCTCCCCAAGTCCACCTAGTACATCTTAGAATCATAAAATCTGACCTACAATAATCCCTACTGCGACACACTAGTGTGATACCGCAGCCAAGCACTGTCGCCTTAATCCGCGAGCTTCTCAACCGAACCACAATGAGTCAAGTCTCACAACCTACTACAGTGTACACTCTACACACAGGTCCAGAGAGAGCAGGCAGCGGAGGCCCTCTTCCGCTGAACTCCCTGAACTGGGAATAGCTTCTTTATACATTGTGTTTACCTCCAAAGTTATAAGTTGAGGCTGATTTTTAATTTACTAGCAGCTACACATTATTTAAAGTTACTAAAGAATGCAACGTGAGTTACATTGATATGTTCTGTGGCGTTTTCATCTATCAGATTTGCTTAAAATGGAGACGGACTTGTTCCCTCCACACTGACGCCCCAGTGTGATAGTCGCCCCTTAGTTTCACTCAAGCCCAAACGTAAAGCTCCACAAAACAGAATAAATATTAGCCCCAGGGATTTCATGGGTCCGTTCAATTCTTCTGAATTTTCCAAATTTTAAAAAGTCAACATGTGTCACTTTTATAATCAGAGAAAAAAGCATTTTAAAAAGAAAAGCGAGATGTTCAGGCCCTTCCATTGAGATCCTCGGACTGTACACAGACCCCGTCACCCACGGTGACGGCCTCGTTCCGCTCCCAGCCCCCGCCCGGAGCCAACGGTGTACCGTTGAACACACGCACGTTTTTGGTTTGATTAACTTCATTTCTTCCCTTCCCCACAACTTCATCATTGTAGACCAGAAGGCAGCCGACAGGGACTTCGGTATTTTCTAGAGCTTCTTTGGCCTGCAAAACAAGTGGAAAGTCTTGGGTGTAATGTTCAATGCTTGAAAGGACTAAAGGAAAGAAACAGACACGGCGGGAGCAGTAAACACATAATTATACTAAAACAAAGAAATGCAACCGGCCTTTCCCTGTCCTCAGAGTGCAGGACTTAGCGCTGTTGTTCTCTGTGCGTCCACACTAAGGGACACTCAGCAAAAAAATCCTGTTTCTAGGTCCTGAGCCCCTGATTTTTTCCCCTCATTGGAAGCAGAGGGGACCAAAAAGACTATTATTAACCCTTGTTCTTAAATCGTCAGGGTCTATGTTCCTTTTCAAAGCGAGTATATGTATTTGCAAAGAGGTAAAAGAAAAAATATTTATAAATCCTCTCTTAAAATTCTTTCCTTGTTGAAATTCTACTTGCTTAATTTGGTTTCTCTAAAAGTGACAGCAAATATCCTCCAGAGTCCCGGTAACACTAACGCGACAGAGTGGAGGTGCCCCTGCACCCCCAGTTCCTGCTCTGCGTGACACATGAAAAGCCAGGAGCGCTGGGGGTGAAGTGGCACAAGCACTCTGGGGGACATTTTGGAAGTTTTCTTAAAAAGTAAACGCACCCTCGCCTATGGACAAATTCCCCTCCAGAGTATTTATTTAAGAAAAGTGACTCCACAGGGTGGGGCAAAAGTAGGTTGACCCCTGTGAGTATGCAAAACACAGAGTTTGTTTTTGCATTACTATTTATGAACAACTGTAAACCTATTTTTGCCCCACCCTGTATGTCTACAAAAAGAAAACGAAAGAAAACCTGTAAAACAGTTGATTCGTAATAGGCAGATGTGGACACAGCGGAGGAGACCATCAACAACAGAACGGAGAGACCAGCTGCGTCCCGGCCCTGGGCCGCCTACCACTCAGCAGTGAAAAGGCCCGACGCGGACGTACACACCAGCCTGGCCGAACCCCGACCTGCTGGGTAAGAGAAGTCGAACACGAAGCACACATACCGCGTGGCTCCCCTCACGAGGAGCACTAGACTGGACAAAACGACACTACGGTGACAGACGTGGAGGGGGATGTGATGACCCACTGAGGCAGAAGGGACATAAAGCAATTGTCTGGGCTGGAGAAGACTTTATCTCGATAAGGGTGTGGGTCGCACGGATGTTCCCATCACTCAAAATGGAATGAACAATGCATTTCAGACCCGTGCATCTCACTGTATGGAAAGTACACCTCAACTGGAAAATAAGCCCAGCACAACCCCACCACACCATCCCGGGGAACAGCAACCTATTCTGTCTGCAAAGCCTCCCTCTATCGCCTACTGTCCATTTTTCCTCTCCTCCTTCCTCTGTGAACCACAGGAGCTCCAGGGCCCAGGACAGGGAAAGAATAGTGCCTCCGGGCAGACGGCCAAAGCAGGCAGGTTGTATCTGGGAACATCCTGGTACCGCCACTGAGAGAGAATGAAGGAGGGTGGGACCCTTGGGCTAGTGCACAACCGTTTCCATCTCACTACAGTTAAAAGAATCTCAAACCAGCCGTTTGCAGAAAGGCACGGCATTCCTCGTTTCGGAGGCCCCAGGACACTTCGGAAGCCTAGATCCACGTAAACGTAGGACATGAATACACACACCATACGGCATATGTAGTGCAAAGCTGAAGACAATGCTGAAAATAGTGCTCTTTCTCCTTCACTAGCCTCTCACTCCCGGCGCTACTTTATCCATAGCAGCAGTAACTTCCTATCATAATGTTAGCATGGGTTCCTGAGCAATTTCAAGCATGCTCAACAAACATTTTTCACGTGGCTGTAAGGGGACAAGGAGAGGCACAAAAGTGGCAGCCGACTATACCTCCCCTCTCTCCTCTGCAGTGGTGGGCTAGAGAGATGTAAGGTGATGGTCTCTGAAGCAATGAGACTGCATTCTTCAGTACAGTAACACGAGCTACCCACAGGCTGATTCTGTCCCAGTTCTGGAAAAAAGGTGAAAGCATGCCCAGTTTTCACCAAGTTTGAAAGCCTGGAGATTTCCAAGACTTGGTGAATACATACAAACAAACAGCACAAACACACCACAGGCTACTGCCGAAAGGAAGCCAGGAGAGGGCTGGCAGTGTGACCACACTCAGCTTCTCCACCCTCCACAGTGGGGGAGGGTGGAGAAGCTGAGTGTGGTCACACCAAGAATGTAATTTAAAATAAGCTTGGAATTACACATTACTCCAGGTACTCATGAGAGACAAATCACGTATTTGTCCGACAATTGTTTGCTGAGAATCTTGAAGTAGAGAAGTTACCCTGGTAGCCCTAACTGCAATCACACAGTTGCAGGGAGACATTTGACAGCCACAGCAGAAAGCAATGGGATGCTGTCGGCGTTGAAGGTGGAGGAGGCCGTGCGCCAAGCACGCAGTGTGCCTCTAGAAGATCAGTTTCCAACGGGTGTGCCGTAAGACTTTCAAAACAGGCAACACCTGGCTATTTAACCAGGGGGACTGACCTCTTTCTCCCTTAGAATGCCAAATTAAAAAAAAAATGACATCAGCCAACACAGTAACAGCTGTCCGCTGTGAATGAATCAAAATTTTACCTATTTTTGTAATATTGGCAAAAATGTAATACCTTTTTTGGTGTGCTGCAGAAATTTAGTAATTAGTTTACCCGTGCCATGAGATTTTTAAAAAGTTTGAAAATCCCTGCTCTACAAGCTGGAAAAGGCAAGGAAGCATATCCTCTACAGCCTCCAGAGGGCGCTGTGCCCTGCTGAAACACTGGTTGCAGCCCAGAGAAACTGATTCCAGGCTCCTGGCAGGAACCACAAGAGAATGAAGTTGTGTGTTGTTTTATCCCACTAAGTTCGTGATAATTTGCTGCAAAAGCCATAGGAATCTAACACCCACCCCTAAGAGGAAGAAAAGGCAAACTAAAACTGGAAGAAAGTATTTGCAAACCACATACAGAACAAAGATCTAGTATCTAAACTAGGTAAAGAACTCTCCAAACTTCAACAAGTTAAAAAAAAGCCCACACGAGCCCATTAGAACAAGGGCAAAATACACTAACAGACGTTTCATCAGAGAAGGCATACAAATGGCAAATAAGCACATGGAAAGACGTCCGCACCGTTAGCCATTGGGAAAATGCAAACTGAAACCACTGTGAGACAGCATTACACACCTACCAGAATGCCTAAAATGGAAAGAAAACAACGAACTCTGACGAGGCTGTGAAGAAACAGGAGCACGGCAACGTGAAAGGGTACAGCCACTCCGGAAAACAGCTGGCAGTTCCTTACAACGCTAAACGTGCACTAAATGTATAACCCAGAATACACACTCTGGGACATTTACTTACCCAGGAAAATAAAATCTTAGTTTTGTACAATAGATCATTTCATATACAGACATGAATGTTTGTAGGAGTTTCATTCACAATAGCCAAAAACTGGAAATGACCCACCCCAGTGTCCTTTGGTGGGAATACTTCAATGAACGGTGGCACATCTCTACCATGGAAAAACTACCAAAAAACTTCCAATAAAAAGGAATGTACTATGGACTGACTCAACAACTTGGATGGATCTCAAGGAAATTGTGGAATGAAAATAAAAAATCTTAAAAGCTTACATATTGATATGGAGAACAGACTAATGGCCGCCAGGGCTTAGGACGTGGGAGGGGACGGCGGCCACAAAGGGCAGCGTCAGGAAACCTGGGCTCATGGAGCAGTTCTGCTGGTAATTAAACAAATTGAACAGGACACAAGGTTACACAGAACTACACACACACAGGCACACACGCAGGAGTGCACACAAAGCTGATGAAAGCTGAACAAACTCCCAGACGGCATCAATGCTATTTTCCTGGAAGACACTGGGTGAAGGTATGCGGGCCTTCCCTCTACACTTTTTTTAGAAACTTCCTGTGACTCTATAATTACTTCAAAATAAAAAGGTGGGGTTTTTTTTAGAGTGGAATAACTGAGAAGCACCTTGGAATGCAGATTAAGAGATGCCTGGTGAGGCAGGAGGAAAACCAGGAGTGTCTGGTGTCATCAAAGACCCCAGAAAGAACTGGGCCCAGAAAGAAGAGTCAGTGAGGGAAGGAAATTTGGGAAAAGTGATGGGAAGGAAAACCAGTGGCTGGAAGAGCGACTTCTCTGTAGGTTAAACGTCTAGCTTCTATTCCAACAGACTGTTATGGCTACATGCAAGTGTTCTGATTCTGAGCTTGCAAATAATAAGAGCTTACAATTTACTGAAAACCTTGCTTTGATCCAGGACTACTTTAGGCACTTTGTAACTATCACTGTATTTGGGTTATAACCCTATGAGACGGGTTCAATCATCTTCCCCATGATACAGATGAGGAAACTGAGACATGGGGTGGTTGTGGAATGTGCCCATGTGCAAAGCTGGGACTACAGCCCAGGCAATCTGGCTCCATTCATTCATTTGTTCAGTGGGAATTTGTGGAGCACCCACCAGTTGCCGTGTTCCTCAGCAATTTGCCACTGCTCTGGCTCTAATTTCTACTCCAGTCACAACTGATCACCTACATTCTCTGTGTTTGGGGTCGAAGTAGCTCTACTTCAAGGGGCAAAAGGAGAGAAAACACTTAGCAAGAGAGTGAGACACAGAAAGTTTAAGAATTAAAAAAACTGCAAGAGAATAAAATGAGGAGACCACGAAACAAGGATTTTCTGTAAAATTATGTCTGGGCTTGTGGCCACTTCAAACATGTAGAAGAGAAGCCAAGACGAAGTGGAAAGGGAGTGGGCAGCAGTGGAGAGGGAGAGCCAGCGGGGCTGTGGGTCCTGACCTGTCCACCTGGAAGGCAGTGGTGGGGCGCCCGGCAGAGGCCTGGCAGCTCCCCACCAGGCCTCCAGGGGCTGGGCCTGTGCCTCTCGTGCTTGCCTGTGGACTTTTTTCTTTTTCCTTCCAGAAAATGCATCTCCTTTTACTGTTTCCCACTTCTCATATGCAGATCTGAATCACAGAGTTGACCCTTGAAACACATGCATTGGAACTGCAAGGGTCAATTTAAAAAATCCTCCTATAAATGGATCTGTGCAGTTCAAACCCATGTTGTTCAAGGGTCAACTGTATATATATATATATATATATATATATATATATATATATAAATATATATATATATATATATATATATATATATATATATATCTCCTGGCTGGTGTAGTTCAGTGGATTAAGCACAAGTCTACAAACCAAAGAGTCACTGGTTTGATTCCCAGTCAGGGCACGTGCCTGGGTTGTGGGCCAGGTCCCCAGTTGTAGGTACACGAGACACAACCACACATTGATGTTTCTCTCCCTTTCGTTCTTCTTCCCTTCCCCTCTCTCTAAAAATAAATGCATAATATCTTTTTTTTAAAAAAATTAAAATGTATATATATTTGCTTTGTTGTCAAGTTCAAATAGATTTAATTAGGCTGACAATAATCTTCTACCCACCCATCTCATACTTTCTGACATTCCCACCACCTCTCCTGGCAAGTCTGATCATTGCTTTATGAACGCAAAAGAACTTGGGCAAAATGGGTCTGAAACATGTGTTGGGAGGTTTTAACTATATCATCTTTTAGGGGAGAGGACAAAGCTCAATTATTTTTAAAATGGCAACTTGGTCTTCCATAATTAAAAAATTAGCAGCTTTCACAATTAAAGAATGAAATCACTCTTCTTCCCAGCCCAATCACTGGTCTCCTCTTTGTCTTTAAATGTCATTTCTTTTGCTCTAGGCAGGGCCTGCTGGTTACAGATGACGACAGATTCAGCCCAGCTTTTCGCTGTTCTTCTAGGTCCCTGGTTTCGTGAGAATCTGACGAAAGTTGGGGGCTCTCTCACATCAAACAGGTATATGCTCACAATGTTGTTACACACGGTGTCACGATTTACAGATCCCCCTGAAACCTGGACCCCTGGTTAGGCAGCCCTGTTCTAGACAGCTGGATCGCCTCTGAACCAAAGGCAAAGTCCTTCATTTCTTGGTATTTGCCAGTTCCACTGCACTGGTCAACCTTTTCCTTCCTTTCCACCAACCCATATCCCTTTTTTCCTTTTTAAAATTCAGTAAGCATACCAAATTCATGTCAGCTGACTCGCTCAGGACTTTGTCGCCTATTACCTGATGGTACTTTATGTCCTTGTCTTCTTTTTGACACTGGACATGTTACTTATCAACTTTTTCACTGATGCATGGCTTGATTTCACCTAGCGCAATGCTGGACTGATACCAGGCACCCAGAAAACGAATACTACAATAATATATGATGGATTTATTCTAGAACACTTGTTTCCTCATTAGATAGATAAGTCTAGAGAGACAGATAGATACACACACTCAACCTTTGTTTTTTCTTAATTATAAAGTACGACATGTTCGAGGCAGAAAAATAAAACCACTTAGTTATTATTCTGTGACAGAAGATTTTCAAGCTTTTTTCTATGCCTGCATTTACATACCTGTAGTTTTTTCAAGTCTAATATATTTATACTATATATGCATTTTAGCAGTCCACCTTTTTCACTTAGAAATACAAGCACTTCCCTATTTTGGGCAATATTTTCAGCACACGGTTTTATTGTTTAAGGTTGCACAGTGCTCCTCTGTATCACTGTATGATTCACTTAACTGGTCCCCTATTGTTTGACCTTGACATTGCTTCAAATCTCTACTATGATAAACAGGTGAACTTCCCTATATATTTTCACTAATATCTCTATTACTTTCTTGTGAATTATTTCTAGAAATAGACATAAAATACAAAGGGCTCCTACCATGTGATTTTTAAAAATAAAACTAATAATAAAATTGGACAGCAGATATGTCTTGGCAATTCACAGAAGAAAAAAATTCAAATGTCTAATTCAGAAACTCAGTGCACAGTAGGTCAGGGGAGTGAAAGCAACAAGGCAGAGAGACCCAGCAGCGTGTATGCTGGAGAGCAGTGAGCAACCAAACACGGTGCAGTACAGGCCGTGGTGAGAACAGATGGCTAGACAGAGCCTCGTCCCCACCAGCCTTCCAAATTTGTGAAATTATTTACATCTCTGTCACCATCTGAAAATGAGGACAGTGAGGACATGTAGCTCATATGTGCAGCTTACATACTACCGCCCATATCAAACACTGTGCCTAGCACTGTGTCTAAACAGTCAGAGTGCAACACTGTTACTTATTCCTATATTTGTTTCCAAGCCTATACCCTTAGAATTAGATGCTGTGATGATTAAAACAATAAACATTATAAGCCTAGTTCTCCAAAAGAAAAATGTCATGAAAGATAGTGATTTTACAAAACAATGACGTAGTTTATTTAAAGTTTGATAACTTGGACAACAAAAAGTTACACAGATGTTGCTTCTCACCTGAAACAGTGCCAAATATGAGAAAGTGATCATTTCAGGCCCAGTGGAAAGAGGGGTGGGACAGAACTTTCTTATGTATTGCAGAAGGAACTGTGACCACTGCAGACCAGTGCTAGCCAACAGAACCTTCTGTCGTATTGGAAACGTCCTTTGATCTGTGTTGTCCAAAATGGTAGCCACCAGCCATGTGTGGCTACTTAGTATTTGAAATGGGACTAATGTGACTGAGGAGCTGAATATTTCATTTTATTTTCTCACTTTCAATGTCAATAGCCACACGTGCACTCGACAAACACCTGTGCAGTGAATGAAGACATAATTGTGAATTAATTAGCTATGAGGGTCCAGAGATGATTAAGGATAGAATGAATATAATCAAAACCGTTATGGCAAAGACTTCTTTTAGAGCAGCTTTAGAAAAATGTAAAACTGAAGGGCATTTCACATATGTATATATGTGTGCACGCCTGTATTTAGATACATATGCCAAGGACACTTCTATCGCTATTAAAGGGCTCACTGGCACACATAAGTATGGGTGAAACTTGGATTACACACAAATCTGATTAGAGCCCTCCTTAATCAACAGTCCTGACAGGGCGAGGGAAGGAAGTAAAGAACAGAAGGCAGTAGGATGTATGGATGGACGGACGGACAGACGAATGGACTGATGGACGGTAGGTAGAATCTGGCTGTACCGGGATTTGTTTTTATCTACTTCCTACCAGAAACATCCTCAGCCTCCTTCCTTTTACTACAAAGGTTCAAGAGGTCATAAACACAAAATAATGTGCCTTGGCGGATTTGGGAATGTGCTCATAGTAAAGAAGGGGACTCAGCAGCTGGATAGGGTTACTTGACGCATACTTCATGCCAGCGAAAAAGAAATAATTTTTGTATTTCCCTTCTTCCTTCCTCAGAGCTACTGTGAGAACAGGGTAAATCCAGCCGTTTGCCTAAAACGTGGCGCCATCGAGATTTGGTGACGAGATTATGGTAATGTTTGCAAAGATCGGGTTGGGAAGAGAGACGAAGTTCCCACCCCCGGTATTTATCTCCCGGGCTCCTCACCATTTGCATGGCCTCCTCCATCCACTTCTCGATCTCCTCCGCTGACACCGACCATCCAACACCGGTGCCCGGCGTGGATGCCTCCTTAGCCTCCATACCGCGCTGGGGCCCCTGCGCTTTCCGCCAGACGCCTTGGAGACGGAGGAGCGCAGGCCCGGAACTCGGCGTGTGCAGGCCACCGTTTCCGGGGGAGTCGAACAGCGAAGCACACGGGAGCGAATTCTGGACGGACCTGGGTGTTGCGAACCTGTGGGTGTTGGCGGTGGGGCGGCGGTAACAGAAAGCGCAGCTGCCCTGGTGTAGTCCACGCCCCCTTCCCTCTCCGGTGACACTCTCAGTGGGAAGTCGCGTTTGTGATTTCTGGATAGCACCGAGTGGGACCTCGGCGGTCCTGCCGAGTCGTCCAGGCCAGGTGACAAAGAAAGGGTTTCCTGGTGCACCAAGCCCCCACCCCTAGGCAGCCCGCAGCCCCAGGGACTGAAGATGCTGAGATCTTTGTGGAATTTTCTCAAACGTCACAAAAAGAAGTGTATCTTCTTGGGCACGGTCCTCGGAGGTGGGTGACAGCGTTCTTGGAGCGGGACATTGGGAGAAAAGGGTGGAAAAGAGGTGGCAGTCATCTCAAATAGAGAGGCCGGGCGACCATAGTACCACATATGTTCAACAATGGGGTAGGGACCCAAACCTCCAAGGTTCTATACATCTCCCTGATTGTGAAATGCGTGCCCCTTGCCACGACCTGTTTGTCACCTGTCATTTATTCTTCCAGACTTTGGGAGAACCCATCACAATTAAGTTTCTGTTTTAAGGCACCATTCTCTTACGGACACACTGTTTTTAAACTGCTCTTCCAGTGTTTTCCAGAGATTCTTTGTTTCTGTTTGGCACTCCTTGTATTTTGCTTGGCTTTTTCACCCTTTGCAGAAATTCCCTTATATTCCAGGAGTTACCTAAAGTCTGCATGTTGAGTGTTGCTTAAAGTTAATTTGAATGTTTGAAAGCAGCGCAGTGGTACAGAAGGACTGGAAGATATATACTACATCAAAGGAAAACCCACAAATCAATATTTTAGCTGCATTTCTGGTGTTGTAGAAGGTGAACTATGCCACAAATTATGCTGTGAGATGGTGTTTTCCCTAAGTGCAGTCTTCCTGGAGGCTGGGATCAATGCCCATCTAGCTGACATTACTGAGTTGCCCAGGCTGGAAGAGATTTAGAAACAGAGAGCAATACAGTAACAACCTTGAGAGGTTTTTTTCCTTATACCGCAGTTGTGTCGTAAGTAGCAAGGGTGTACAGGAGAGAATAAAAAGCCTTGTGAGATACAGGAGAAAAATGCAGGAATATTAAGAAATTTGTAGAATTGGAGTTTTTTGAGAAATATTATTACTAACTACATGCTTTGGTTACAGAAGAACTCAAAAAACAAGAACAGAAGTTTCCCAAAGAATTTGGTTGCTTTTCTCTTACTACTATTGGATTATATTCTATTATCCCCTAAACAATTTGAAATTAACAATAATTCAGATCTGTCAATTCTTGAAAGTTTAGAACAGGCATCTTGTTGATGAGGCAAGGAGAGAGTCTAGTCTCTGAGGTCTATCATAATTTGACAATGAGCATTTGTAAATTTTCATTGAATAATTTTGAGAAATTCTTTACAGTTAAAATGCTCTCTGATATTTTCATCTGATGTGTATTTAGATGATGCTAAGACCAGTAAGTCCACCTTATCAATATTTGTAGATGCTAAAGGTATATGTATGATGGAAGAAGTATAAATAAAATATTTTTGCCACCACTAACGGAAAGGAAAGAATCTCCCTTTAGCAATCTCAGAAAGACTATCATACACCTTCCAACTTATAGGAAAAATCTAACGGTGGATTGGGAATGATCATGGGAGAAGCAAAAGATCATACTTACGAGACAATTACACATTTTTTCAGAGAAGCTATTGAGAGTTTTATAATTACAGATTAAGGAGAATGAGAAAGAAAAAAGGGTTCAGAGAGACAGAAAAAGAAAATAATCCTATCATTCTATAATTTAAAAACAGAAGTTAATCTAAAAGAACAAAGAAGATGACCTTACGGTATTTGTTTGAGCCTCATATTTTTTTTTCTGTTTCAAGGGAAAGGTCCTGTAACATGTGACATTTCGGTTAATCTATTTAAGAAATATTTATGAAGTGCCTGTAGGATTGACAGTAATGTGATTGGAAACAGAAGATTTAGAGAGATTTTTAACAGTAATAGTAATCATTTATTGGGTGCCCAGTGGTCACCATGCTAAGCTCTTATAATCAGTGGGGATGACAGCAAGAATAGTTATTGTTACCCCATTTAAGAATGTGGGAGCTAGAGCCCTAAGATATTAAGAAACTTGCCCAGGGTCTCAGAGTTAGTAAGAGAACGCTAGAATTCAGACCCAGGTGTGTTTGATCCCAAAGCACATTCTCTTGCCACACTATACCACTTTGCCTTTATGTGGACTTTGTGGGAATGAAAAGTAGTGTCTTAGTCCATTCAGGCTGCTATAACAAAATACCACAGACCGAGCAGCTTATAAACAACGTAAATTTATTTCTCACAGTTCTGGAGACTGGAAGTCCAGGATCGGGGTGCCAGCATGGTTAAGTGAGGACCTGCTTCCAAGTTGCACACTTGTTATATCCTCATGGCAGAAGGGGCTCTGTGAAATCCATCTCAGAAGAACACTAATCCCATTCATGAGGGCTCCTCCCTCACAACCTAAGTGCCTCCCAGAGACCCCACCTCCTAATGCCATCATGTCAGGCATTAGGATTCCAGTATATGAATTCAGGACACACAATATTCACAACATAGCAACAAATACACAAATAATTAAAATACAAACCAATAAGAGCTAAAAAATGCCATACACATCACACTGGCAGATAGCATGTAAAGTTATAAAAACTCAAGAAAGGACTTAATAGAGGACATATATTAACAGGTTTGAAAGCTAGATATCAACATGCGTGCTCAAAGAGGTTTAGCCATCCAGTGGTAGGAAAATAACAAGAAAAAAATCACCTCCTATCTCACTGTTCAACAATGATAATTATTTATTATATGTTAGAAATGAAAATCCACCAGTTTTTCTGTGTATCACAAGACTTCTGGGGTCTTATTTCATCATATAATAATATAACATGGATATTTCCTTGTGCCACTATTTAGTCATGTAGGTTTTAACAGCTACATCGGATTCTATGTGTGGAAAGACCTTAATTTATGTGAGCAGTTCTCTATTGCTGGCGGTGTAGAATATCTCCTGTTTACAGTTAAAGGCCTTGCTGGACTTTGTACACTGAATCCCTGTGTTTGTCAGACCTAGTCCTCAAGTGCCTGTCTGCATTGGCTGTTGACACGACAGTCTCCTTTTCCTTCTCTTTAGGTCACAATTCTCACATAATTCTTCTATTTGGGTTTTTAAAGTTATAATTTTTAGCTTTTTGCTAATATAAGCCTTATATTTAGATAAAGCAGGTTAAAAGTATGGTTTAGAATTTCTAATACACTAATTATTGGATTAATATACTAGCTTGTTTTAAATATACACTTTTAGGAGTATATATCCTGGGGAAGTATGGACAGAAGAAAATCAGAGAAATACAAGAAAAAGAAGCTGCAGAATATATTGCTCAAGCACGGAGACAATATCATTTTGAAAGTAACCAGAGGACTTGCAATATGACAGGTAAGCCAAAGAGAAATATTTATGTGAGTATAAAGTTACTCGATGATTTGTATTAATTTGCATACCTCCAGGACAAACGTTAGAAGAAAAGGCAAAGGAAAAAATGATAAAATCTAGCAAGTATTTACTACCTGATTTAACTGAAATACATCTCTTCATGTAAATTTTAAAAATCAATATAAATCGCGCTGCCTCAGTTGGTTGGAGCAGCATCCCGCACACCAGAAGGTTGCAGGGTTTGATTTCCAGTCAGGACACATACCTGAGTTGTGGGTTCAAGTCCCGGTAGGGGCACACGTGGGAGGCCTCCCATCATTGTTTCTCTCACGTGGATGTTTCTCTCTCTGTCTCCCTTCCTCTCTAAAATCAACAAAAACATATCCTCCAGTGAGGATTAAAAAAATTAATATAAATCAATATACAATATAAATGCTTATTCATTCATTTTACTTATTCACTCAGCAAATAACTTGGAGTGCCCAGCACTGGGGAAATGGGGGAACAATAAAAACAAGTCCCTGACCTTCAGTGTTTATGTGCTAGTGACAAAAACATGATAAACAACAAATAAATAACTTCGGGCAGTGATGGCTGCTGGGAGGAGAATAAAGCTGTGGGAGCAGGGGGGGGGTGCTGTTTAAGGTTAGCAGTCAGCAAGTCGGGCCTCCGTGAGGCGGGACCAAATGGTCCAGCAGAAGGGACCACGCACACCCTCAACATGCCCGAGGCGAGGACAAGCTGGGCACATTTAAGGAACAGCACAAAGGCTGTGTGGCTGCAGCCGATGAGCAGCACAGGGGTGAGAGGAAGTAGGGTGCAGGGGGCCCTGTCCCGTGGGCCTGTAGGTCATAGGACAGAGTCATACGTTTGTTAAATTTACAGTCAGTAGCTACAGACCTGGAAGTCCAGCACAATGGTATATATTGAAGCAGTGTTAACTAATGGTAGTCATTTAACCTCCACAGCCAGAGAGCTACTAGGAGAGTGCCATTAAAAAATTGTTCAAAGAAAAAAGCTATATTATAATTGGCATAACTCCTTAAAGAATTAGTTCTCCAACCTATTTTGGTTTGGGTTTTATTGTTATTATTATTATTAAAACTTTAACATTTTTTTCAAAAACAGTTTAGAATGAATTTATACAGGTACATACTCTGTTTAATTTTAAAAGTAGAATTTTTTTCCACAGGTGAAAGGATGTTAGTTTCATTTAACAGATAAAGAGGCTGGAATTAAGGAGGTTCAGAGACACATCCAGAGTTATAGCTGGTGTCCGATTTTTATATTTAAAATAATAACACTTCATTCTGTAAAGCCAGTATTAGTCATAAATACTGGTGAAGGCACAGTGGGAAGGGCACACTCCAGGGAGAGGCGGGTCTGTTTGGGCCCCGCTTCAGCCTCATCCTCTCTGGTGTCTCTGGGGACATCTAAGTCTCAGT